TTCATAGCCACTTGTTGAGAAGGAATAAAATTTCAGTAATTAGTTTAATGATAAAGAAAGACTTAGAGTTCAATGCTTTATCAATGAACATGATTTATGATAGAGCAATATGGCGTTGTTCGATCCATGTCGCCGACCCATAAGCAAAGGGGAGATAAACTGGTAATATTTATATTATCATATGGTGACGGATGAATGATGGCAAGTACACAGGTTAAACCTTTTAACCAATGGTGTATGCAAATCCATTTTCAAATTTCATAGGATGAACATTGCATAGTGCTCACCTTTTATTATATTTGTCTTCTGGAAGAAGCACCCAATCCCTCAAGCTGAAGAAATACACAGCAACTTATAGTTAGAGGAGTCCATTTTTATATAAAATGAAGCAGTCAATTAAAAAGGTTTAAATAGCTTAAGATTTCAAGTGTTCCATATCTATATAAAGTTCTAAACAGCATAACTCCATGTGAAACAGAAAAAACATACATACCAATCTTCTAACCAACGATGATTGACTAGCTTTATAGTGCCCATTTTCTTGGCAAGTTCATACTTCTCCCCTACATACCAAAAATAAATAAATACTTTGATATCGGAGGTCAAATCTTCAAGAAAACTTTGAAAGATGATGAAAACAATCAAATGAGTGTCAGACAGATCATCAATCTATAAGGCAACTGAATGAACAAAAGTAGCATTCAAATGCTCTGCATTGTAAATGATGGAACATTATAAGCTGAAACAAACCTTCAAATTTGTAGCATATAAGATGGGTAACCTTGTTTGCTACTAATGGCTTCGAAAAGTGTGCACCCATTAGGCCAACCATTGTCTGAAGAGGGGAAATAATGTGAAGTCAAGTACCGCTATATAAAAATTATGTGCATAAGCTCCCAGGAAAAATTGAATACAATAAAGTATATGATAAGCCTACCATAATGTCATCCCGGTCCTGACGCAGATAACCAGTCAAGCACATAATCAATTTTTGTGCACCAGGGATTCCATTTAAATCTTTTAGGGGTCTGTACATAACCTGTCAGACAGGAATTTTTTGGTCAGAATCCAAAACTGTGTTAGAGGTTTAACTTACTACAACTTCATCCTACAAAGAAGCAGAAGCATGAAATTCACTAGTGGCTGTCAAAATGACATGTAGAAGTTCAAAAAATTTCCAGACATAAAAATGTAAACAAACAAATTGCTCAACTTTTTATCCTTGCATTATGTAAACAAATTTAATTATTTCTCATGCCTTTTTGGTAAAATATAAAAAAGTGTTTGAAATTTTTACTACTACCCTAGCTTGCTCCCATCGGTTGGCTACAAGAGCCAAATAATGGCATTCAGCTTTACCACAAATTCAAATACTAATTTTTCAAAAAAAAAAAGTGTTTAGAGTACTTCACCTAGTGGGATGAAGGTTTGCTTGTTGTTATAAAAAGCATTTAGAGTAAGGGAGTATCTCTTGCAAAGTTATCTTTGGTTTGACTCTATTCTTATAATTGTACTACCTTCCATTTGATAAACTTTTCCCATTAAAGCTTTTATGGCCCTCTCTTCATAATCTCATATTTTCTTCTATAGCCCGTTATCCAACTTAACATTCTCATCTCCGCCATACTTTTTTGTCAGCAATTTACTAATTACAAACCAAAAATCAGTAACATCAACTAGTCTTACAGACATCCTGAACTTCAATTATATGTCTTACATCCCAAATATCATAACAATGCCTCACACTATTTGTAAGATGGAACCAACACACCCAGACACTGCAACTTATGGTACATTATACGAAATTAAAATACTATCTATTTTTAAAAATAAATAATAAAAGGAATTAAAAGAGGATTAAGAAAATTGAAAAAGAAACTAACAGAAGCAGGATCAACGGGCATTCCAATATCAGCACTGTGATCAACCCATAGTGCAGTGACAAGTGTCTTCCCATCCTTTCTCGCAGCAACACACACTGGATCATCCTATACATACATAAATACATAACATCACATGATTCACACTATCTCACTTCACTCCAATGCAAAGTAAAATAAAAACGAAAATGATCTTACATATGCAATCTTATCAACGATAACATGCGAGCAATTTACACCGTACTTCCCTGCATCAACACCACCGCCATTTACAAGCTTCAATCGAACATTGCTCTCCGAAATGGGATTAAATCCGAAGAGCACGAAATGAACACCACGAAACACTTGCAACGGATAACTCGTTTCTAACATGTGGTTTTATCGATTTTATGAGCAAAAAAATAAAAAAAAAAGAGTGAGGTAAATAGATGCGACCAGAATCGTACACAAGAAGCCTTGAAAACACTAACAAGAAGAAACTAGAAACCAAAGGAAGGGTTTTTATTTATTTAACTTTATTTGCAACTTTCGGTGTTTTTTTTTTCAGGTGGAAAGGAGAGGGAATTTTTCTGATTTGATTTTAGTGGCGGGACATGAAATCTTGTGGGCTGGCTATGGCATCAACTAGCCCAATAATAAATCACATGGGCTAATGGGGCCATACAACCGTCTTTATCTTCAATTAATGATTAATAATGTTAGGTGGGATATAATAATAATAATTAATGTGTAGACAAACATTTCTATAAGATACATTCTTATTTTATGATATTAAATTTTTTGTTACAATGGAAGGATAAGAAAAAAAAACTAATAAAGAGGAGCGAGATCCAGGTCCATATAAGATTGACAGTCTTGTGGAGCTGACGATCAGATCTTTAGAATAGTAGACAAATGTGACCCTAGCATAGCCATGAAATCTGCTACTTTGTTAGCCTCTATGACAACAAATTTAACTTCAACCTTCCAATTGCGAGTTAACCAAGTTCGAATATTAGAAACATGAAGCAAAATATTGTTCAAGCAAATACGGACACCATCAAGGATAATTTGTACCGCTTCAAGACAATCACTCTCAAGAATAATCTCTTTGAAGCCCAAGTCCCAAGTTAGATTCAAACCATGCTCCATAGCCAAGAGCTCAGCAAGGATAGGAGAACCTACCCCAAAGTTGGCGGAAAAACTAGATAACCAACGACCCTTATGATCACGAATAACACCACCCCCACCCATGACATTAGTTCCTCTTATACAACAACAATCAACATTGAGTTTCACCTGGCCAGGGAACGGGCGACACCATTGACCCATGGAAGTGTTATCCTCTGAAAGGACAGTATGCCCTAAATTTCGCCACTCACAGAAATCATGATAAATATTTCTAGCAACGAAGTTAATATCCCATGAGTCGTTACCAAAGATGGAGTTATTTCTCCACCTCCAACTCCACCAAATACCTGACATAAAGAGAAGACCATTGCGACGTTTTTAATTATCCATCACCCATAACTGAAAAGAGCAGACAACCCATAATGAAGGCTCGTTAAAACCAAGCCTCTTCCAAATGGCAGACGACATCCGACAATCCCTGAAAATATGCATAAGTTCTTCGTTACCAGAATGACATCTCGTGCATATCGGGCTCAAAGACATGTTGTAACACCCCAAATTTTAATCTTTAAAAATATAGTATCAGTCCTGGAAGCCTCGCTTGATCGAGAGATTCTTGCCTGAGCGAAAAAGGATCAGCTGGGAGGGTGAAATCCTGGACTATACTGGAGGATTCTCGTGGGCTGTTGACACAGTGTAATCGATTACACTCTGCTGGTAATCGATTACATCGTGTAAAAAGCATCAGATATGTGCATTTGACACAGTGTAATCGATTACACTCTTCTGGTAATCGATTACATCGTGTAAAAAGCATCAGATATGTGCATTTGACACAGTGTAATCGATTACACATTTCTGGTAATCGATTACACATTGCTGGTAATCGATTACACACTCCTGGTAATCGATTACATCGTATTAAAAGCATCAGATATGTGCATCTGACACAGTGTAATCGATTACACATTTATGGTAATCGATTACACATTGCTGGTAATCGATTACACATTGCTGGTAATCGATTACACACTCGTGGTAATCGATTACATCCATCAGATATGCGCATTTTTCACGTTGTAATCGATTACACCATGTTGGTAATCGATTACAACCCGACGACACCTCTTTAAAACAGAAACCCAAACACATTTTTGGGTTAGAACTTCGAAGAGAAGAGAGAAATGAGAGCTTTTCAAGAGCAATGAGCCTTAGGACTCATCTTGGAGCTTGAGAAGAGGTAAACCTCTTGTTACTAACTTTTTTTCTTCCTCTCTAACTTGTTTTGGGTATGTTGGATTTATTTTCAAAACATGATAAACCATGGAAACTCATACCTTACATTTCGAAGATCAAAAAATACAAAATATAAAATATACCGGGTCTATCAGACCCAAACAAAATCGAATGGATTCGGTCTTATACATACGCGAGGAAGGTAATCAAAAAAGAAAGAAGATGAGTTCTTCTTTCTTTTACCCCACAATCTATTTTTAAGGTGTGAACCATGTGATATGAAATGAGTTCAATCAAGGAGAAATCCAATTTCGAGCCTAAAAGAAAAAAAAAATAGTTCTGTTATTAGTTCTTCTGTTATCAGTTATTAAGTAGACCCACAATACAATGTCTATAGGAAACAAAAAAAAAAAATAGACATAAAGGGTTGGGCGATGGGATTAGGATTAAAACAAAGAAATAGTAGGTCAATAAACAAAAGAGGTGTTAATTGATCAAAGGTCTAACTGATCACCACGTCGGTATTGTAAATATGCAGTTACGAATAATCCAGCCAAAGTAATAGGAATGAGACCTAACACGATTCCAAAGAGAAAAACTTCAATCATTTGAATTTGTTTGAAAGGGAAAGGAGACGAAGAAAAATAGAGTGACATAGATAATAAAGCAATTCATCATCTGTGACATCGACTCATCTTGTGATTCCAAATCAACAGATTCATTCAACAACTCGTGAGCTAAGCAGTGGTAATTCGACGGATTCCCCCGGGGAAAAAAAGAGATGTCTCCTACGTTACCCGTACTATGTGGAAGTAGCGACGTAATTTCATAGAGGATCGCGATCCCGCGAGGGTGAGCTAACTCCAAAAACCCGTCCTCAGTTCGGATTGTAGGCTGCAACTCGCCTGCATGAAGCCGGAATCGCTAGTAATCGCCGGTCAGCCATACGGCGGTGAATTCGTTCCCGGGCCTTGTACACACCGCCCGTCACACTATGGCAGAACCTGCTTTAAAGGATTACGCGGTATGATTGAATCAAATAAGCCCTTATGGAATAAATATTCAGCCACTTGTGAACCTTCGGGTACTGTCTTATTCAACGTTTGTTCAATTACTCGTTTACCTGCAAATGCAATATAAGCATTGTTATGGTTTCTTTTATGTTGTTTTTATCTTGTAAACTCTTGGTTTAGAGTTGTTATTTGATGAATGGAAAGTTTTATGGATTATTCATGAAAAACCCCCAAAAACCCCCCAAAATGAGAATACGAGTATAAAGAGAAAGAGATGAAATGTTAGATGTGGATAATGGCTTTGATGTTGTTATATGAGATGAACATGTATGCTTTGATATTTAGAAACTTGTATTGAAGTAGTTTTGGAAATATTGAAATATGAGATGTTATGCATGTTTTAGATGGTTGAATATTTTGTATGATTAAATGATGCAAAGTAAGTTGTTTATGTGATATTTGGAATAAATGACTAACATTGTTGTTATTGGTGGAAATGAGGAAAGATCCTAAGGTTGGAGGAAATCGCGGAGGAGACTTTTAAAGTTACTCGGAACCGATCCCCAACGCTCACCAAGGTAAGGGATAAGTGGCTCTAATTCATACTCACTTATATGAATGAGATATGTGAAAGAGGTAACGTGTTGGTAAGTTTATGGTTGTTACCCTACCCGAAGAGGTAGTGGTTTATCATTGTGTCCTACCCGGAGTGGTAGTTGACTGTTATTGTTATCCTACTGGGAATGGTAGTGAAGTATTGTGTATGACTTGCCCTATGTGGTATTGTATATGACTTGCCCTATGTGGTATTGCGTATGACTTGCCCTATGTGGTATTGCGTATGACTTGCCCTATGTGGTATTGTGTATGACTTGCCCTATGTGGTATTGTGTATGACTTGCCCTATGTGGTATTGTGTATGACTTGCCCTATGTGGTATTGTGTATGACTTGCCCTATGTGGTATTGCGTATGACTTGCCCTATGTGGTATTGTGTATGACTTGCCCTATGTGGTATTGCGTATGACTTGCCCTATGTGGTATTGTGTATGACTTGCCCTATGTGGTATTGCGTATGACTTGCCCTATGTGGTATTGTGTATGACTTGCCCTATGTGGTATTGTATATGACCTACCCGAAGTGGTAGTGGATCATTAAGGGAAATTGCCTACCCGAAGTGGTAGTGGTTCATTGAGAAATTACATACCCGATGTGGTAGAACTGGAGGTGGTAAAGAGTAAGCCTGATGGCGAGAATAAGCAATGAGACAAAAAGATTTGAGATAAACGAATATGCATGCTATAGGATATATAGTATGAGATATATATTCTATAGGGTGAATATGGATGATAAAGTGGAAGATATGAACAATGAAAGTCATATGCATGTTATAGGATATATAGTATGGGATATATATTCTATAAGGTGAATATGAAGGATGAGAACTGAGAATGTCACAATGAAAGTCGTATGCATTCTATAGAGTATATTGTATGGGATATATATTCTATAGGGTGGATATGAATGATGAGAAGTACGAGGTTTCGAAGGAACGTAGTAGGCGTGCTATAGAATATATATTATGGGATATATATACTATAGGACGAATATGAATAACGTGGAAATGAAAGAAAGAATATATGAACGTTTACATTTATTTATTTGTGGTTATGATTTATATCAATGCTTAATTGTATTTGAAATGTGGATTATCGTGTGATGTTAGTTTTGAACTAATGACTTACTCCCTTTTGTTTTGTGTGTTGTTTATGATAATCCCATTGTAGGTAAATGAAGGATTTTGAGGATGAAGCTCGATTAGGAAGCTTTTGTGTTTATTTACTCGATTGTCTTTATTGCTATTTGATATTGTAGTTGATTTGATAGTATTTTGGGATAATTGTAATCTGATTAGGATAATATGGTGACATGCAGTTATGGACGTTATAACTCTGGAAAACCCATAACTGGACGTATGTGATAAAGGCTATCTGAATGAATTATGTTTTTCCGCAACATAAATTTGTATGATTATATAATAGGGTAAAGAGTATTTTCAAAGAAAGATACTTGAGAGTTTTTAATGAAGGTGACGACTGTATGTAAGAAAGGATTAAAATAAATGAAAAATTTTCAAGGGTAGAATTTGGGTCGTTACACATGTTCCTCCTAAAACGGAGTTCATTAGAATGAATGGCCTCATGGATACCAAGCCAACACATAAACTTGACTTTCTCAAGAACCTTAATGTGCCACACCCACCGCCAAACCTCATAAACAGGGTCAATAACCTCATCATAATAGTTAAGCAACCAATAACCTGAATTTGCAGAGTAAGCACCTGTAGCATGACTCTCCCAAATTCATCCTTCTTCAGCATTCTTATTACTAAGAGGGTAAGTATCTCTAATGAAGTCCTTGATAGTAGGAGGAACCAAAGTGTAAAGAATGTCAAAATTCCACTTATTAACATGCCAAATGTCTTTAACTAAAAGTTGAGTATCTGAAATATTGACAAAATTAACAAAGTTACAAAGCTTACCAAAACCAGACCAATTATCATACCAAAAGTACTTAGCCCCGCTTCCCAAATGTGAAGAGAAACCATCCCGAAGGTGATGGCTAGCCTTAACAACACTCCTCCAAGTGTAAGAAGAAGAAGCCTTTCGGGGAGGGAATAACACAGAGTTGTCACCAAGATATTAGCTCTTCAAAACTCTACACCATAATATTTCATTGTTGCTGACCAATTTCCAACACAACTTTCCAAGGAGGAAAATATTCGCAATTCTAGCATCCCTTATCCCAAGACCGCCATCACATTTGTGTCTAGTGGGGACATCCCAACTAACCAAGTTAAGGCTGCGCTTGTTAACGTCCCCTCCCCACACAAAATTCCTCGTCATTTTGTTTATATCATTACATACACTTTGGGGAAGTCACATAGTTTGCATAGTGTAAATAAGAATGGAAGAAATAACCGACTTCCCAAGACACAGACGACCAACCTTGTTTAGAAGGTTCACCTTCCAAGAAGCCATGCGTCTCTGAATTTTTTCCATGATGGGATTAAAAATCGCTTTAGTGACCTTACCATGAACAAGCGGAATGCCCAAGTAGTTTCCGAGGTTACTGACCACACGCATGGAACATATGCTCATGAAACTATTCTTCCTCTGCCGAGTCACCGATTTTGAACACACAAATTTAGACTTGGCTTCATTAACCTTGATCCCCGAGGCCATGCAAAAATCCTTAAGAGTAGAAGAAACCATGTTGACTTGAGAGTTGGTCGCCTTGCAAAAAAGAAGAACATCGTCAACAAATAACATATGAGATATAGGAGGGCCACCTATAGACAATTGAATTGGATGCCATTCATTGACGTTAACTTTGTGATTAATATACAAAGCCAATTTTTCCATACATAGGACAAACAAGTATGGAGACATATGATCTCCATGACGAAGACCTCTAGTTGGTTTAAAACCTTCAAGTCTAGAGTCATTCCACAGCAAAGAAACTTCTCAAGTGCGAACGCACCACATGATCAGATCCACAGTAATAGTAGGAAAGCCAAACTGCAATAAAGTATATTGAAGGAAATCCCAGCTGACTCTATCATAAGCCTTTTCCAAGTCCACTTTAAAGGCCATGACACCTTTTTTAGCTTTATATTTATGCAAGTAATGCATAACTTCTTGCGCCAAAATAATATTATCAGAAGTACCACGACCTGGAATGAAACTACTCTGCAAAGGACCAACTAACTCATGTAGAAAAGGCCTTGGTCTATTCACCAGTACTTTAGTAATGATCTTATAAACCACATTACAAAGACTAATAGGGCTGAGCTCTTTTAGGGTAGTAGGATTGTTGACCTTGGGAATTAGAACAATAAGAGTTTCAACAATACGAGCATCAGAGAACCCAAACTTGAAAGTATCAGAAACCAAATTCCAAATATCATTTCCCATTATATGCCAATATTTCTTGAAGAAAATTGGCTGAAAACCATCAGGGCCAAGAACTTTTTAGGACTTCATAGACATAACAACATTTGTCACTTCATCCTTAGTAACTGGGGAAGTAAAAGCATCAACTCCAGCACAAGAAAGAATAGGAGTAGCAACCTTGCAATTGTCAAGTTGGATATGATTATGGTAAAAAAAAAATGCTCAAAATACGTTTTAGCTTCCTTCATCATCAGCTCAGAATCGGTGCACCAAGTCCCATCATCCAAGAAAAGACCATGAATCTTGTTTCTAGTTCGCCGCACAATAGTTTGAGCATGGAAGAACTTGGTGTTTTTGTCACTGAACTTGACCCACTGCTCTCTAGACTTTTGAAACCATAATAATTCCTCTTGTCTCATGATATGATTATACTCCCGCCCCAATTGAGCCTCTAACTTAATAAGATCACGATCTTCAGTTTCTTCGAGTGATCTTTGGATGCCTCTCAGTCTGGCCTCCACTCTTCTCTTCCTTCGAAATATATTCCCAAAGATGATCTTGTTAAAAACTATTGACTCATATTTAACTCTTGTTAAACCACCAACCACATCCCGAACTCCACGATTCCAAGCCTCTTGGACAACACCGAGATAATCCTTATGAGTTGTCCAAGCCGCCTAGAACCTAAAAGGCCTATTCCGGATAATGTCGACCTGGCCACCACATCTAACCAGCAGGGGGCAATGATCTGAATGAAGCTGAGTAATATTCTCCACATATCCATCAGGAAAAGACGTGTGCCAAGAACAATCAGATAACCCTCTATCCAACCTCTTAGAAATACTTCGCCCATTTTGTTCTCTTCTGAACCAAGTGAACCTACTACCAACAGCACCAAGATCCATCAAACCACAGGCTTCGAGAACATTAGAAAACCTTTTGGTCCGAGAATAATTAAATTGCCCACCCCTGACCTCCGACGGAAGAAGAATTTCATTAAAATCACCCAACAGAAGCCAAGGTAGGGTAACCAAATTACGGATAGACACCATATGGTCCCATAAAAGCTCATGATCCATATAAGATGGGCTAGCATAAATAGCAGAGCAAATCCATTCGCTCGAGCCACATTTAATTTTTAAAGAAATAGCCTG